CCTTTGCAGTCACCAAAACCTGCAAAGACCAAGAACACCACCAGTCTCAATGAATCAAGTCGTGTTCTTCCAAGGCTTCAAGAAGCACCCAGAATGGCCAATGAACGCAAGGATGGTTCTCTCACTTTTGCGCCTAGGGATGCTCATCGATTCTCTTATGATGGGAGGGGGTCAGAAGATGCCCTTAAAATTAAGCTCAAAGATCTCCCAAGACTATCACTAGATAGTAGAGAAAGCTCCATAAAGGGTTCCATCAATAGTATTAAATCAAATTTTCTTCCAGGAGAGCTGCACAGAAGTAGCATGAACTCCAATGAGATGAAAAACCAACAGCAAGAACCTGGAAGCTACAAAGGACCGTCTAGTGTTGTAGCCAAGTTGATGGGGTTGGAAGCATTGCCAGACACCATGCTAACCAATGGGAATCAAAGAGGACAGATCAGGACCTGTCAAGATTTGAAAGATGATCCCCTCTCATGCTTATCAAGAATTGATGAGAAAAATCAAAATTGGATCTCTGGTTCTCCAAGAAATTTAAAAAGGGAACCCAGCTCACCACGGCTGACAAATGCCGACTCTAAGAAACCTGTTGCAACCAGATGCCCAATTGAACCAGCCCCATGGAAGCAGCCTAATGGAATCAAGGGTCAAACATCAGCTTTGAAGTGTCAAGAAACTCCAATGAAAGCCCCAAACAACTCTCTAAGTGTTTATGGTGAAATTGAGAAAAGGTTGGCAGAACTCGAGTTCAAGAAGTCAGGAAAGGATCTCAGAGCCCTTAAACAAATACTTGAAGCAATGCAGAAGTCTAAACAGATGACAGAGACCAGAAAAGAAGACCAAGCTTCAAATTTTATTTCTCATGCAAACAGTATCCTTGGTCATAGCTCAGAAGCAACAAATTTGACAAAGCTAAAAAGTAGCAGTGCAGTTTCAACCACAATTAAAGGAACTAGTTCTCCAACTAGCCTTAAATCTCCAATCACGATTATTAAACCAGCAAGATTTATGGAAAATGCCTGCAATTCCACTTCATCAGTAATTGCAACAGGCAGTTTAAGCAGGCTTCGGACAAGCAACCCCGCTGATATCAGAAACCAAAAGGTTGACAATCGATCATATAAAGAGTTGACTCCAAGACCTAATCCTTCCAGGGATCCTTCCAGTCGACTCCATTCAAGGGATAAGAGTACTGCCAAAACTCTAAGATGCAACCAACCTTCAAAGGGGCCATCACCTACTGTTCGAGAAAACCCTATGCTGGCTATAAGCTCAGAGACCACATGCCTTAAGCTGCAGCAGAAGAAGCTTGAAATGGAAAAGCAATCTTGTTCTGCCACCCCAACATCAGATCAGAGCAGGAGCAGAAGGCAATCAGGCAGGGTGCAACCAGAATCAGGCTTGCTACATTGGAAGCCCAGGCATAAATCTCACAATTTGCAGCGACGTGATGACCAATTGAGTGATATCAGTAGTGACGTGAGAGATTTAAGTCACCAAGGTGATGCTAGTTCAATGCAATCTGAGAGCAATATGAGCACAGCCTCCTATGGTGGGATAGAAGTCACGAGCACTGACACATCTTGCAAGATAGAGGGTACATTTTCCCAGAAACATGGAAAGAAGCAGAATGTAAGTGTTCTTCCTCCTTTTAATTAGTATTTTGATTAACTCCTAACGCTAAACAGCTTACATTTCTATCGTTCAGAATCCACCAGCAAGGTTTAGCGAAGGTGACTCAACAGCAGAACCTCCAAGAACTGCCCTGGAACACCCTAGTCCTGTCTCTGTTCTGGATGCCACATTTTATGGAGACGAATCACCATCTCCTGTGAAGAAAAAATCTAATGCCTATAAAGGTGAACTGAAACTTTATACCTTGATTTTGCTAAACTGAAACTTCAACTGTAATGACTTCCATATCATAAAGCCTTTTGGCTCTAATGATTATACATCCACCAAGCCGATTAATATATTAGTTCATCCTTACTAATATCACAAGATATTTGTAGAAAGCAGAACATTAACAACTTAAGAATTGCATATAGATAGTATCTATAGAAAACAAGAAACTTAAAGAATCCACTATTTATTACAGGAGGCTTGGCCAGTTTCATAGATTGAATTCTTTCCACATTTTCTTTATGACAGATGATGAGGGTCTTATTCCTGATGAAGCAGACTGGAGTCCCATAGGTTTGAATCGCTTATCCAGCTGCAGAGAAACCAGTCTCAGGTCCAAGACAGGTATTAGGAAAGCAGAAAACATCCAGCACTTGGTCCAGAAACTCATGAACTTAGATTCTATCAATGAGGACTCCATTATCAATGAAATTGCACCCATTTGCAGTAGTCCAAATCCAGACCATATATACATTTCAGAAATATTGTCAGCATCAGGTCTCCTAAGAGAACTTGAATCCAGCTTCATGGCCTATCAGCTTCATCCATCAGGTCATCTAATTAATCCTAACTTGTTCCCTGCCCTAGAACAAACCAAGGTAAACAGTAGACTTCTATTTGAACATGAGAGCAGAAAGATCAACCAGTTAGAGCCCATTGAGAAGAACCACAGGCAGCTTATATTTGATGCAGTTAACGAAGTTCTAGTCAGAAAATTAGTGAACAGCTCTTACAAGCAGTGGCTCTCACCAGGCACGTTGGAGGATAGAAGACCAAGAGAACAGCAGCTGGTAAGAGATTTATGTTCAGAAATAGATAATCTTCAAACTGCATCAAAAATAAGCATGGATAGTGAGGATGACAGTCTGAGAGGCATCTTATGGGGAGATTTAACACTCGGATTAATGGATTGGACACAGTGCAAAAGTCAAATTCCCAGGGTAGTATTAGATGTGGAGCGGTTGATCTTCAAGGACTTGATATGTGAAGTTATCAGTGGTGAAAGAGCAAATCCACAAGCGCTACCCCGCAGACATTGCAGGCAACTGTTTTTAAAGTAGCATTTCTAATAATGCTACAATTTGGGTTGAAGGGCCACCAGGAAAGGGGGTGGTAAAGTGTACTTCAAAATTTCTTCTTTTTCCATTTTGTTCGATTCTTTTGGGTTATAGTCGCAATAAAACATGAATGAAACTTGAGCTTATGACACCATATAAATTAAAACGCTTATGAAATACATGTAAATTGAAATCTATGTGTATACCAACATATGTTTTCTTTCCATTTTGAAGTCTTCATTTTGGCAGTACATGCTAGTATCTGGTTCAAGCATATCCTTATCAAACAATTTTCTTTCTTCAGCTATTAACAAATAAGTAATAAAAGAATTTTGTAAGCTTCAAATGGTGAGAGTTGGTCCAGAGGGATAGCACATAGTGTTGGTACGATGACTCATAAGGTTTATCGCTCTACTTTCTATTTGCACCGGACTGACAATATATACATCAACATTTGGAGTGGTTACTAAGTGTTTACGGTAAAGCGAGACCTCCTAAACACAAATAAAAGGAGCACCTTCTGTGTGCGAAAAAACCCTTATCGATATTGTATAACCTCTAGCAAAGATTCATTCGCAAGAGGCTTCTGGGAATTACTTAAAATGAGCAATTGTATTTTAATAAGCAAATCTGAACATTTATGGTCACCTAAAATCTTATTTGATTTTAAGATTCTTAGCTAACCACCACAAAATCTTAACACTCATTTTCTTTAGAAATAACATTAGAGAGAGATAGGCTCCTCAGATAAATTAACTAGAAGTTTTAGGTAAGCAAGTCATTATAGCATTCAACTGCAATGCTAATATATCTTTAATCAGTGTTAAGGAAAAATCAGTGGCATTTCCTTCTGTATTAAGCATAGGGAGGGGAAGGGCAGGGGTAAAATATGAAATTGCAGGATGAAAGCAGAAATGACAGCAGTAATCTTTAAATGCTGTTCGTTGCTATCAATTGCAGCAATAAACTAGAAGTGATAGTGGCTTGGATTAGGGTTGGATTGCAGTAATGTCCACCCTACTCTCAATTAGCGATCTATAAATAACATTAGTTACTCTTGATTACAATTTGAAAATCGTGGATGGATGATTATCTCTGCGATCATTATCCTCTTTAGCATATTTTATGATGCTGATTCCTAGTTAGATGTGATTTTTTCCTACAGTTAGGCTTATCCTAGGTCTTATAGTTTATGCACAAATAGAACATGTATTATTCACACGGAACAAAGCCAGAATACAATATTCAATGTCGTAACATGTGTAGCCCGAAATTTCAGATGATTGAAGGATTTCAAGACATCCTATTTAGGATTGCAGAATAGTGGAAAACCATTAGAAGTAGTGCCGGAAAATTCAAAGTCAGTTGTCTGGAATCATCTGACAACATTAATCTTGACCCATACAAGCCATTCTGTTTCGAGATGTAACAAACCTTTTCTAAGATAATATGGATCTGAGTCTACCTGCATCCCATGAACCTCTACAAGAACAAGACCATTGAACATGCACAGCAGTTAATTACTATTCTGTGACACATTAGAATTGGTGCTAGGTTAAGATGCTAGCACCCTATATGAAGCCCAGCTCCCTAGTCTCAAAGTAAAATCTAAAATGCATGTCAAAGTATTATAGCTATTAATTAAGTTTATACATAATACAGAACATGTGTCAACCAGTGTAAGCACCATATAGCATTACTCACATGTAACATGATACTTGTTATGCTTATCCCTAGACTTCACTATTCTGCTTTAGTCTGTGAACCATTTACTAAACTATGCCCATTACCTAGAACAACCTAACTAGTTAGCAAAGGCCATCATCAAGATGGAAACAAACCAAATCAATAAGACCATTTATTGAATGGAAATACACCCTAAAAAGTAGATCCCAATTAAATCTAACTTGCCAACCAACGTGTGTTCAGTTTCAATTTTATTTATAATGGTGTATGACACAATGCAAGTTAAAGAAAGTTTAGAGCAAATGATGCTTGTTTTCCAAATTCGATCTCATCTTAAGAAATACAAAAAGCATGTAATGTGGAATTAACCTGCCTTCATTAATAACAAATAGTAATACAATATTGTACAAAGCTTCAACAATGGTGAGCATGTGTACATGTGGAGTTCAGCTTAAGCCAGAAATTGAAAAATCCACGATCAATTTAAGACCACCAAAGAAGAAACAATAATTACGAAAAAGAATCATCCACTGTTCTATCATGGCAACTGTCACATGCATACCTCAAGAAAGCGACCAAGCAGGAGACTTCTCTCTTGGATTTTGCACTGTCCTTGTAGTCCATCCTAGAAAATTCTACAAAGGATGATAACAAATCTAATTCACAACTGTGCCAGTTCCTGACAGTTCTCCATAGGTTCTTTCAGAATTTTTTCTGCTCTCCTCTTCTTGTCATACTTCTCATTATCATTCCCAAACCATGAGGCAATCTTCTCAAGATCCTTTTTCTGTGAATTTAAAAATTAGGTGCCGAGCCTAAAGACTTCTTTCCAGTTTCTATCTTAAAGTGCACCATTGGTCTCTGGTTATGAAGGACTTTTTTCTGTCTATTTTCGGAATCATGGAACCCACTCTTCATTGCTTCTATAGCGGGAGCAAATGTCTCCAGCACTGAAACATGGTTTCCCACGATACAATTTTCCGAAACAATATTTCTCAAAGCCACTTCATTTGAAAGCTTAACTGGAAGAACAACAGGTGACACTTCTACTTCCTTTTCCCCAAAATGTAGAGGTGCAGCAAGATAAGGATTGCTTTCAGCAGCTTCCCTTGCTCTACCAGCATCCCCACCATCACGCGAAGAACCTCCTTCATTCCCATTACAAGCAAACCGCTGTTGCAAATTCAACAACGACCGCTCCATCTTTGTTTCAAAGCTTGCTAACTCACTCTTTTCTCCATTCAAAACACTCATTGTCTCATTCCCTTCACTCGACTGAGCAGCATAAGTCTCAGGATCAGGAAACACAGGCAACCAATTCGGTATATGCTCCCCAGGAGGCTCTTCTCCTTTTTCCCAAAAACTTCCCGTTTCCTTCCACTCTTTAACAACTGGGAACTGAGGAACATCATATGCAAACTGGATATCATCTGCATCACCAACATAGTGAACAATATCCCTAACAATCCCTGAATTAACAACACAACGATCAGCATCTGATGCGCCAGCAAACCCTAAACCCGATCCTAACTCTTCCAACCCTTGAAAAACATCAAGCACATTTGCTTCCACTCTCCCTGCCAAATTAGCATTAATATTCGCAGTTTTTCCTACGCTATAAATGTACTGAACAATTATATCCGATAATGTTTGTAAAGCAGAGTTTTGGAAACTCTGAAAACCTACGCTTTCGCATACTTGCGCCACTGCAACCTTCGCTATTGCAAGGGCAAAATCGTCACTTTTGCTATTGAATTTGGAAGACTTGGACTGCTTTTGTGATTTTCCGTGTTCTTTTCTATTCTCCAAACCTCCATCGTTCATGTTCAATAACTCTTCATATCAATTTCATACTCATTTCTCTTAAAAACAAAAAACAAAACAAAATTAATAAAAGTTTAAAAGGAAACTTAAAAAAAAAAAGAGAGAAATGAATGTGGAAAGCTTACCTTTTTCTATCACGGTCGAAGAACAGAAGCAAGAAATTGGGAAGAGATTGCGAAATTTAGGGAATTAGGGTTTGAGATTTGGGGGAAGTCTAAACTCTAGGGTTTCCCAAATTGGGCATTTTCATAGTTGATTAAAACCCTTGATAAATCTTCACTCGGAGATGGAAAAAATTGGGCGTTAGGTTTTATAGGCGGAAAGAAGAGATTGTTTAAAAGGAAAATGATAAATACCATTGACTGTTATTAAAATTCCGTGAATGTGTTGTACTTTGTTGACACATGTCATATAGATGGGGCAGTTTCAAATAATAGCCACGTGGTGTTTCCTTATTTATTGAAACAGAAAGGAAAAAGCAGTGTACATCGACACCTCAATATCAAAAGAAGCCTTTTAAGGGCTTCCCAGAAGTCGACAAGTGGGACGTTCCTATACTCGACAGGTGGCACCTCCTTATTCCTCTTTAGTGAGTTAGAGAGATCGGCATTCAAGTGATGTTTTGAGCTGGGCTTTAAAGTCTTTGGTGTGGGCGTTAAAGAGCTATGTCTTTGTTTATGAGGTCCAATAGAAGAAAATCCTTCATTATAGAATTAGTTTTGATTGTTTGCTCTGCCATGAATTTTTTTTTTATTCTTATCTTTTCAGCATTTGTCTAGATTTAACCTCTTTTTATATAAAAATAATTATTTTGGGTATACCTATGTTAATCTATACTTGGTAATTGTTGATTTAAAATGATTAATATTTTATGTGTTTGAGTACGAACATTAGCTGAGCATGGGAATCCTCAAGCATGAGTATTCCTGATTGGTCAAGCAATTGATTTCTATTTTTATTTATTTATTGATAGTTTAAATTTTTTTATTAATGTCTTTTGTCCTTAATTTCTATTTTGCTTTTATTCTACAGTCGAGTTTGGGCAACCTTCTAATCACTTTGATTTTCTTTCTTTGTGATACTATTTTTTGCTCCCTAATGCTACTTTTTGATCTAATTATTGATCACTTTGTTCCCTTTTATTACTATTAAATTAACTTACATCTTTATTGTTTATGCTACAATACCTGTAGCATTATTTGTACTGTTTAATATTTTTTAAACACTTGGTAAATATATCTAAAGTCATGATGACCTGTTGATTTAATTTTTTATTATTTATTGTTGTTTTAAATATTTTTTATTAATGTCTTTTATTTTTAAATTTTATTTTGTTTTTTATTTTGTAGTTAAGTTTAGGCAACCTTCTGATCACTTTGGCTTTCTTTCTCTGTAATGCTATTTTTTGCTCTCTAATTTTCCCTCGATTTTGATTTAATTATTGATCAATTTGATTTTTTTCATTACTATTTAATCAACTTAGATCTCCATTGTTTAGTTGACATGAATATTTGCTGTTGCATTGTTTTTATTGTTCAATGTGTCAGAACACCAAACTAAAAAAACTTATAAATTGGCTTCAAGGCATGTATCAATGTTACTGTCTTTAAGGTTTTATTCGGTCCCACTTATAGTATGTAAAAGAGTTATCGGCCTATAAACCTCGAACATATAATGAAGCCCAACGATTTATGACGTTTTGCATTGAAGAAATCAATTCATTGAGCACTCACCAGAGTATAATAAGATTATCAAATTTCTATAATATTTTTTCTGTAAGAAAATAGTATAGAAAAAAACTTAGAAGATGTTTGAGGAAGAAAAAAGAGAGATATTACTGTTTTTTTATTTACGTTGGATAAAGAGGGTCTTCTTTTATAGGCATAGATGCTTGTTCTCAACAGACACTGTTTGTGTTTGTTTCAAAGAGTTGCTCCTGTTGGTTTTTTCCAACAGACGTGACTTTTTTTTTTTTTTTTATTTTCAACCGACATAACTTTTGTTTTGGTTTTAATTTCCAACAGTCACAATTTTTTTTCTATTTTGATATGAAATCATATCTTTTATTGGAAAATGTCCAATAATCCCCCACCATTTTCAAATTAATCCAAAATTTAAGATAATCTTGAAAATCAATTGCATAAATGAAGGTATCTTTCAATTGAACCTTCATTTAGTGAAAACATATTAAAGTTAACCGAAATTGCATGGTAGACTATGCTTTGAACTAGCTATTCCATTTGGTTAACCGATCACATCTCACACAACGATTTCAACGCCAATGAGTGCATAGTATCCAACAATGCTTTTATGGCCATGCGTCTGTATCCTTTTTTCATGAGTACTATTAAAGCCAAGCTCTTGAACTCTTAGAAGTGGCCACACTTCACACTCACATAGGTAGATCCCATGAATGTCCCTGTAACTAAAGCATTCTAACAACTTATGTTATGGGTCTATTAAGATATATAACTCATCTTTTCCTTACCATTACGGGTACCTAGCACTTCACTTAGGATGGAATATAACATATTATATTATAGTGCTAGCAGCCACATACAAATGATATACTTTGTCTCATTGAACTCAAGACTTGACGTTATACCAAGCATTGAGTCGAGGTTCCACTATGGGTGAGTTTCAATTTATGAGGTTGAGCCTCATCCCTTTTGAGGTCTTATTTGCAAGATCTCTAGCAAGATTTTTTATTAAAGGATCCGTCAAGTTTTCACTAGATCTCACAAAAGTTATAGTGATCACTTCATCAGAAATTAATTGTCGAACATAGCTATGTCTTAATCCAATATGTCTAGATTTTTCATTATACACTTGGCTCTATGCTTTTGCTAGAGTTGCTTCACTATCACGACGGATAGAAATTGGAGAAATTGGTTTAGGCTATAAAGACACACCATAGAGTAAATTTCTTAGCCATTCAGCTTCCTTGGTGGTAGCAGCTAATGCAATAAATTCGGCTACCATGGTAGAATCAGTTATAGATATTTGTTTCTTGGACCCCTAAGAAATGATAGCCTCTCCAAGCATGAAGATCCATCCACTTGTGAAAGCATGATCTTCTAAACTTGTAATCCAATTAGCATCCGAATATCCTTCTAGTACTGATGGATATCCATTATAGCAAAGTCCATAATTAATTATTTTCTTTAAATATCTTAATACTTGATTTATGGCTTGCCAATGCAAAGTGCCTAGATTACTTGTATATCTACTCAACTTTCTAACAGCAAATGCTATATCTGGCCTTGTACATGTCATTGCATACATCAAACAACTAATTACTCTTGTATTTTGTAATTGATCAATAGCCCTATCAGCATTAGGTACTAATTTAATTTAAAGATCCATGGGTGTAGATGCTGGTATACAATTAGTAAGGTCAAACTTTTCAAGGGCTTTTTTAATGTAGTGCGATTGAGATAAAGTTATGTTATTTTCATCTCAGAATATTTTAATTCCTAAAATGACATATGCTACACCCATATCTTTCATTGCAAAGTTTTTCGATAAAAGCTTCTTTGTCTCCTCGACTTGTTCTAAATCCATACCAAATATTAGCATATCACTCACATATAAGAAAATTATAACATCTTTACGACTTTGGAATTTGCTATATATGTACTTGTTAGATTTATTTATGTTGTAGCCATTAGCTAAAACAATTTCATCAAATTTTTTGTGCCATTGTTTTGGTGCCTGTTTAAACCCATACAATGATTTGACAAGTTTACAAATTTTATGCTCTTGTCCTGAAATAACAAACCCTTCTGATTGTTTCATGTAGACTTCCTTTTCTAATTTATCATTTAAAAATACTGTTTTGACATCCATTTGGTGAATTATCAAGTTATGTATTGATGCAAGGGAGATTATAAGTCTAATTGTAATAATTCTTGCTACTGGAGCATAAGTATCAAAGTAGTCAATCCCTTACTTTTGCATAAAGCCTTTGGCTACTAATCTTACTTTGAACTTGTCTATGGTTCCATCTACTTTCATTTTCTTTTTGAAAATTCATTTACAACCTTTTGGTTTGAAACCTGGTGGAAGATCAACCAAAATCTAAGTATTATTTCCCATTATTGAGTCCATTTCATCATTGATTGCTTCCTTCCAAAATGTAAAATTTTGAGACTTCATTGCCTTGTCATATGTAATAGGGTCCGATTCTAAATTAAAACAATAAAGAATCTTATTGTCAATATTTTCTCCTATTCTTTCTATAAGGAACATATAAAAGTCCGGACTAAAATCTTTTATCCTTCTAGCCTTTTTGCTTTTTCTTATTTCTTGTCTAGATTCATCATTATTTTCATTTTGTTCTAATGGAATGACATTTGATTGAATTGATTGTAGTGGCCGTAGTTGCCATAAAACTGATTTGAATCTATTTTCATCAAATATTGCATTTCTTGATTCAATAACAGTATTGATTAGAATTGAATCATTTGATTCAATTACCATGAACCTATATGCTTTACTATGTTGTGCATATCCTATGAATACGCATTCTATTTCTCTTTCACCCAATTTCTTTTTTTTGGGTTTCGAAACTTTAACTATAGCTCTACATCCCTAAACCTTCATATAACTAAGGTTTGGTTTCCTTTTCTTCCATTGTTCATATGGGGTCATTTTAGTTTCTTTTATAGGAACTCTATTTAATATGTGACAAGCTGTTAACAAAGCTTCTCCCCAAAAACTTTTTTTAAGACTTGAATATGATAACATACCTTTCTACTACCCCATTATGTTGTGGTGTGTAAGGTGCTGAAATATAATGGGCTATTCTGGTGGAGCCAAAATAACTTGAACTATAATATTTTTCACCTCTATTTGATCTTAAACACTAGATAAAAGATTCATATGGTATTTCAACTTCTGATTTATAAACTTTATATTTATCAAGCACTTCATCTTTAGAATGCAACAAATATCCATAGCAATATCTAGAGAAATCATCAATGATTGCGACAAAATATTTCTTTTCAACTAATGTAGGTGTACTATGCATATCGCACACATCACTATGTATTAATTCAAGTAATTTAGTATTTCTTTTAACTTTAGAAAAAAAATTTCTAGTTATTTTTGTTAGCATGCATGTATTGCATTTATCAATATTTGGATTAAATTTTGGAATTAAGTCCATTTTATACATATCATCCAATATTCTATAATTTAAATGTCCTAATCTATAATGTCACCAATAAGAAGACTCAATCATATAAGCAAAAACAACTATTTTATTTTTATTATTATTAACAATATTTAATTTGAACA